TGTACATTTATGACATAGAGAACATACGAATATATGTAATTGTGTGCGTATAATGTTGCTACTTTCAAGTTTAAATCTCATTTGCGTGGCGTGGTTATCCTCCGTCCAACGTTTTTAGTCCAGGATAAAATGTTTCGGAAATTCCTTTAAAAAATCCTGAAAAACCTAAATTCCTTAAAAAATCCTGAAAACTCTTCAAAATTCCTATTTTTAATGAGGATAATTCCTTAAAAGTGAGAGCACTGGCTATGGCCCTGTTTACACTATACCGGATTCGCTGGTCACGACATCTTCTTTTGCCGTTACGGAGCAATGGTTAGTAGCAAATGCTTATTAGTTTGACAGAATTGGCATGTTTATTTGGGTCTCTGAGATTAAAAATCTTCACAGCCTTTCGATACCTACAAAATTTGACCCACTCCGATAGCAATCCGGTATAGTGTAAACGGGGCCTATATGTCATCTGGCAGGAGTAGAACCTGCGGTCCTGTGATTCCAGTGCAGCTTTGTATCCAGCTACACAGAGTCCTACGTACTAAGATGATGCCATAGTAAGATTTATTAAAAGGAATTATTATATAATATAGCATTTGTAAATACTGAACGCTGATTGGCTAAGAGCCGTGTTGATATAACTCGAAATTGTGTGAAAACACTCCGCCCTTCGGGCGTTGTGTTTCCACGCAATTTCTCGTTTTCCCAAGTTTCCACTCGTGTTGATATAACTGTATATCAACACGGAAAATGTTTTATATTTGTTAAATATCAGACATTTTTAGCATCTCCCTTGATTGAACTAATGATGCCCAAAAATCGTAACGTTGGATTACCTTCTTTGATTATACACCAATACACGACAAAAACACAATTGATCACTTTTGCAATTGGGGATTTGCAGTCAGTCATTTATAAGATAAATGGCGGCCATGTCGGTGAAATATCATAGTCAGAGTAATAATTGTCACAAGCTAAGCTACTGTAAAAGTTATTAATTTTGTTCACAACATTACTGTTAATAATATACATACATTATTGTTATTAGTGTACTAATATTTACATAATTATAGAGTTACATTTACCAATGTTATTAATATTTAATTATGCGCATAATGAACAAAGTTCGGTGTTATTATTTATTTACATTGTATCTATGATATAGTACTTTTATATAGTGAATGCCTATAATAAAACTGTCGTGGAGGGACCTGCCCGAAATTCTAGTGTTATCTTAACAGTAATAGCATATAAAAATTCGGGTAATTTATCAATTTTTAAAAATTAATCATTGAATTTTTATATCAAGCATTGAAAACCCATAAACAACATTGGAACTAAAAATTTAGTTGTCTCATTCGAAAGAATGCTTAAATTGTTGTCTTCATTATCAAGCTTAGCAATTGAAATATTAATATTTAATAGGATTAATTCTTAACTTTATTACTGACTATCGTTTTAATGACGTCAAATGTGGGGATAGCTTATAAAATTACTTCCAAGTGACCGAATAGAGATCAAAAGTTGTTTAAAATGCTGCCATTCGATTTGAAATTTGAAACAGCAACCAAGTACGAACTTTTTGCTCATATTGATCACTGGCTGCAAGATCTTGGTATCCTACTACCATTTTCGAGCTTCCGTGAAGCGTGCATTTATAACTACGTTTCAAAACGT